GTCAACGTCGCCCCAGTCTTTCCAGTCCTCCTCAGTCTTCTGAAATGATGGTTTTCTCGTGTAACTATTATGATAGGTGCCAAGGTCTCGCGAGGGTCAGGTTAAGGTCGTTGATCTTTGGTGACCTTAGGTAAATTATTACATTTTTACGACCTTTCTGAGTAATTTTTGTAGCTGATTTCGAACTCGGCATTCATTCAAACATTTTAACCCGCGAGTTGCTGGGGGGGGGGGGCGTTAAACGCCCCCACTTTTTTCGCCGGGCCATAGCATAAAAACGGCGCGCCGCAGGCGCGCAAAATTTTGGGTACCTGTAGGAAATTGATTGAAGTTTATTGAGACAAAGTTTCGAAAAAATCGGTCGGAAAAATTTTGAGATATCGAGGTTTTAGTGACGTCATGATTTCTGAGTTTTCGACCAAAAACGGCATATGTTCAAAAAATCATATAAAATCACAGAATAGACATACAGACATGCCGTAAACGCTATTAGACTGCCAATACCATGATCAATCAAATGGCTATCTTCGATTATTGATTATCGTTCCGCATTTTCCATAATCTTGAACTGAATCTTTGCAATTTTTCGTGACTACTTCACGACCATGATACATGAATTTCTTAAATTGAACTTTTTGAGCCAAACACGTACACATATGATAAAATGAATGTCACCATTGTGTTCTACGCCCCAAATTACCTATAAAACATGTGTCACAGGCTGCGAATATCAGTTTTGATTTTCGGGGATATGTGCCTACCCGGTTGACCTGACCTTGACCCTGACCTATGCTTGACTGACCCCTACATGGAGCTGACACGCTTGTAGGCCTTATAAGATGGATTGTGCACCGTTTTGACAGAGTTTATGGCGAGAGGCGCCCATTGCGAAGTCCTGAAGTCCATGCTACTGAAAGCCCGATTTCAGGTGTTTGACCTGACCTTGACCCGACCTGTGACCTCAAAATTCAACTTTGAAGTACTCATCTGAAGCGTCTCGTCGCGCTCTTTCGTTTGCCGCCTCGTGCGTTTCGCTGCGCCTATTGGTTCTCGAGTTATCGGCTGGGGGCGTTTAACGCCCCCCCCCCCAGCAAACGGTGGGTGGCGAAATACCCCAGCAACTGCCGGGTTAAAAATAGTTTTGGTGCCTCTGAAACATGTTACGAAGCTGTTACTGGCGGTTTACACGTTCTATGATAGCTGGTTGGACGCCTCCTGGTTGACCTGGCCTGACGCGACCTTACCTACCCCAAATGCATAAATACATCATCAATTTGATCAAATCAAAATACCTACCAAATTCAAAATCAGGAACCTGGATCACTTAGCGAATTTCTAGCAGGTCCCGATTTTCCCGACCTTTGGGTCATTGACCTAACCTGGAAGGTCAGTCAAAGCCCTATAGGACCTTAAAGTTAATTTACCATCGGCTTCTAGCTCTCATCACGGGCCGCCAAGGTTTTTCCAGCGAAGCCCTAACTCGATCAGGGTCCGAACTCCGAACCCCTGCACATTAGTGGCCGGCAACGGCGGCCAAATATCGATACGGGCGGGGGTTATAAAGTCTCCTCTGTATCCATTTCATCGAAACAAATTATCTGAGACGACCGGTGATGGCAGAAGGGCGGGGAGGGGGCAGCGACGGAGACGTTCTAAGGCAACTCTTTATGAAATATAGTAATGATTCTACTGCTAACGTACCAGACGGATAAAGTAAATGGGGGAACGCATAGAGTATCAACCATTCCCACAGTCTTTGCCGATCTAGTTTATGTCATGAATGCATGACCGTGAAGTTCAGAGTGCTTCGTTCAGTCTTACACTGTGCCATGAATGCTGTCCTCAATTGCAGAGTTTACGGCTGATCATGAACATGGTTGTAAATATTTGTTATGCATCTTACCAAGCGACTAGCACCTTTTCCGAGACCAAGACCGATCGACCCGGTCACGTGAAACCCAAGAGGGACGTTGAATCTGTCCTATTTGAATGTGAACCCGGATAGCTAACAGAGAGTGCAATGAACTCGCGCCTGAGTCAGGCCGTTCCCAGTCCCTTGTCAAATCTTCCCTGTACCCCAGGTCGCGGCACCCAAGTCCGTCTACCCGCCGGGTCACGGGTGCCAGCAGCGGGCGTCTTGCACAGTGGGCCACCGGACTGGTCCAGGCGGCCTTGGCTGCGACACGGCACCCGCCGACTGGAACGGGCGCAGTGGCGGGTGACGTGCGACCCGTGGGACTGCTGAGCAGCTATCGTAATCAGGAAATGGGGAAGTGATGGGATGTTGATTGTTGATTGAATGGGAGATGTCCCGGGGAGGAGGGGGAGGGACAGGGCAGGTCCGACTGTTATTGGATGAATCCGGCTCAGAGTGTCTGATGTGCCGGATGTTTGGTCAATACGTACCGGGACGGCTGGGACCACTTCTGCGCCTGCCATCTATCGGGCAGTGTTTGAAACTACAGCGGGCGCCGGCCGGCCGCGCCGCGCGGCGACGTTACCGGGCTATGGAGGCGAATGAAGTGGTGTAAAACCAGACGAATTTTACGCTTGTAAAGCAAATAACGAAAAATGTACACTCACCACAGTGTTCAGCAAAGTACTGGGAACAATATGGATATAATTTAAAGCTAGTACGATGCGAACTGTTGGTTCCCTAGAGCAGTATTTACATACTTGTAGGAGATAGGACTTTAACATTACGGGAGCTTCTAAACTGCGCTCGCGAAGTACTTGATTGTAAATATTTTCATTTAGAGGCAAAAATCTAAAAATGTACAGTCAGAGCGTTGTTCCCAATGCTTCTAGGTACAGAATGAGCATAAATTTAGCTCGAAATGTCATCACACATTGGTTCCCAGTCCAGTTTAAAACGACACTTTGTGCCGCAGAGCCTATCTCTTCCAATGGATGGCGGCTGGGTGGCGGTTGTAGTGGTGGACAAGACAATTCTTGAGTGAAATGAAATCATTTGCTTTCAAAGAAGAATTTTGAAGAACTTGTAATAATTGACAAATGATCGTTAAATACAGTGTATTATTTCAAGTTCATGGCAAATGAAAATATTTTAAACAATGCTAGTGAACCCCAGTACCGCCGCGCGAGAAAGCAAGTACTCGACGCACGGTCTGCCCGCCACTTCTGAAAATGGTCCGCGGCCGGCCGGCCGCGACCCGACACGTAGGTATGGTAGGTATTGTTCCAGTTGAGAGTGAATGTGTCACATGCACCAAACAATGGCGTCGGTCACTTGAGCCGGTATATCGTCCAAAACAGACCCAACAAGTATCCCGTGCCGGTCGCAGACGCGTCACTCAGCTATTCAGGGGAGAAAGTACCCGGGGCACTTGTCAAACCGATCGTCTGCGGCCTTGAGCTTGCATGGAAACGAGACCGACTCCGGGGAACTGGACCAAGTCTGTTGAACAGGGCATTTCAACGGCGGTAGTGTCATCAGGGGAGCCTGCAGTGCTCAGGGGTCCCGACCGCTCATCACCACTCACCACCGCGACAACCGACCCATCTTTCCTCAGCCTGGGACGGGGCCACAGTCATTTATTTCGCTTAGGTTACCTACCAGGTGGTGTTGCCTCGAGTTAAACATCAGCTTTTGCACCACCACGTCACGTGGACCATAAGCTAGCTTTTTCATGTTGTTGGCTTTTTCATTTCATGTTCGATAAATGTGTTTTGTTGCAGTTGGTGTGCCATGTGATGTAAATATTTCCATCTCCAAATAATCCCAAGTTATGGTCTCAACTTCAACCTGGAACCTAGCCAATTTGTGGCATCACACTTTAACCCTATTAGTGGCAGGGGGGGGGGGGTTGTTTTCATCCACCCCTCAGGTTTTTCGGGAATATCTCCGAAACCGCTGAAGCTACGATGCTGAAATTTTCTGACTTTTCCTAAAACTAAATTGGGCACATTCCCTGAAAATTTCAAGTTCATACCTTTACCAGGGGCGGCTCCAGGGCACTGGGAAGTGGGGGGTCCTATTCGTGAAGCGAGTCATTTGGGCGAAGATCACGATGCTGATGCATTATGATGAATGAATGAAAGGTATCATGTGATAACATATACAAAGTTATTGTGCATCCTCTTTTGACACGTTTTTGCTATAATAGGCGGATCCAGGCGTCCAAAAAGGGGGGTTATGTTTTACCTCCCAACAAAGTGCCCTGACACCGCCTATGCATGACCAATACAATTGTAGTCGTTCTCTCATAAGAAAATTGTAACATAACAAGACCATTGCCACCCTTTTTAGAAAAAGTACCAACAAAAACCTTATTTACTATACTTTTTGTGTACCCCCAATCTCAATGATCTGTATCCGCCTATGATTTTTGAAAATGCATATTTTTAGGATTCATGTGAATTCCTGGTTCATTCTCTATCGATCGGCAAAAGTTGCGTTAAGATTGATTCAGAAACCTGGCCGTGACAAACAGTCTAAAATGTATCTGCAATTTGCCCGTTTTTACCCCCCCCCCCCCCCTCTACCCCCCTATTGCCATTTTTTAATTTTTATTTTTTAGAAATGTAGATCACGTTGAGCGAAATCGAATGACGTTTGAATTTTGAAAATCGGCCCATTAGATCTCGAGATATCAAGGGGGGGGGGTCGTAAACAGCCCCCCCCCCTGCCACTAATAGGGGTAGCCAGGAGCCTGCCACTAATAGGGTTAAACCGGGACGCCACGTTCTGGTGCAAGTTCTAAAATATTTCGAATGCCTTATATGCCGATTCCCGTAGATTCCGAGGTATTTGGTACGACTCGCATTCTTCAGCCACGCCTCAACTCTCCGATCCATTTCTAGACCATACATGCCCGATCCTCGTTTGTCAGCGAGCACAGCGAGCGCGTTTCTAGCATTGCGTGCGGGTTAATGTCCCATTTGTGAATTGTGAGACCATGGGCAGCGGTCATAGAATGCAGACTATTCAGTTTAATAAACCTTTCCTCCCATTGAAGTGGCCATTAAAACGCAGGCAATACGACTGCAGTTTTATTACAAAACACCTCCAACACGCCACATATGTACAATGCACACAATTCGCGAATATGTTGCCATGGTAACCGCGTAACATTTCGCCGGTCCAACGCACGACACACACGGTATTTGGTAGCCTCGCATGCCAGTAGCGCCGGTAACACTCGGCGCCATGTTGGAAAGACGTCGCACCGCGGACCCATACTGGGGCGCGCGCCAGAATAGCGGTACAGAGGGCCTACCCGCACCTCCGCGGCAAACCGGGTACGTTGGCAGACCTCCGGCAGCCGGCCCCGGGGACGCAGCAGTACCTCACGGCTAGCTAAGGAGGTAGATGGACCCCATGGCCTGCCGCGATGGCTCCCCGAAACACCGCTGCCTTCAAACCGAGATTCAGAGCGGAAAAAAGAATAGCTTGAAAAATATCGTCCCCCTAGGTCAGCCTAAACCGTAACAGGTGGAGAACGTAGTTGTTCAAGTAAAATATTGACAGGCAATGAGATGTGCTTCACTGAGGTGCTGATAAGAGCGAAGAAAATATATTAAAGCATCGCAACATACCTAACACAAACGCATGCAAAATAATCGCTCACATTTCTAGGGTGACGCCTGACTGCAGAATATCCCGAAATCCACAAACTGTCGGTAAATGGTAACACTCATAACCCCATTTAATCTAATTCTCGAAATAAAAATAGCAACATCTGTTGGTTGACATGGCAAGATGAATATAATTGCGGTCGTATGTCATCCACCAAATTCCGTGGACTGGTGCGTGGTGTGCAGATTCGAGGGGACCAGACACACTTATGTAAGCCTGTAGGCCATGATGCCTGCCGGCTGCCCTTACATAATGATTCGTGAAGACTGAACCTCGGCTACTTACGATGGTAGCTAACAAAATTCGCCCCATGGTGAGCAAAACGGACTGACACAAGCACTCACAAGCATCCGTAACAATCTAACGCACTCAGATCCTGGAATACCTGTCAACATTTCACCTTGAGCCCAGCCTCTGTACTCGCTTATTGCTCATCTTACGTAAGCACGCAAACAAGCAAAAACAAAAACATATATAGCATTAGCGAGCGTCAGGGGCCCAGCAGACGGTTTTTCCAACAAACCATCACAGAAAGGCGACAGCAGCGCGTCGCCGCCACTGGCGAATAAACCGATTCAAACACAACACACAGTCCGCCTGGTGCGGACCAAATAATATCACTGTCGTGTAGACTGTTGATTGCATGTCCCATCCCTCCCCACCTCTGTAGGCCTCTGTATAAGGTATACAGGGGCCTAGCGACCCCTCCCCTCCCTTCGATGATGGTTATGTACAGATGCTCATGCCCGCTGACCGTCCCCGTCTCAGTACATGGCCTCGTGGCCGGTGAGGATGTAGAGATTGCGGTGGTCGCCGGCCGACTCCTCCGGGGCTACCGTCGGCACGCTCTGTAGGGTGATCACCCTGTAACGGACAGCGTCACACAGCGTCACACGGCGTCACACAGCGTCACACGGTGTCACACCGCGTAACATTCAGCGGCGTCACGTGCTGTAGGGTCATGGCGTAGCGTAACAACGTTAAAGGGACCATCCCACCTTAACATTAGTTTTGAGTTGAGATAGCCAAGTTTGCGGCCAGGCTCAGAAACCACCATTTATCCTGGTCGCAACCCCCGCAGGTTTATGGTGTTCAATAAATTTCTTCCCTTTACTTGCAGGGTGGGACCAGCTTAGTCCCTATCTCTTAACCATTAGCGGTTTTTCGATGACGTCAGCAGTCATTTCAACGCCCGCCATTCCTTGAACCCGAGTTTTGCTGACCTTGAGCTTCCTTTTTTATCAACGTGAAATCCGTCGTCGGCGCTGAGAAAGCCTATTGCTTTTCATTTTAATTTGAATATTAGAAGATACCCACCACTGGAACTTGGACTGATATTATACCAAGGCCGAATATGATCAAGCTGCCTGCTATATCTGGAGCTTGGTGTTCAACTTCAACATGGAATAAAAAACAAAATATCAAAGCAAACTGGATAATGGATATGGTACTGCAAGTGAAAGTCCAAAGAAATTTGAAGAGCTGACAATTGACATTAATTCTTTTCCTGTAAGGTTTCCATATGGAAATCACACCATGAAGAAATATGTTTGATGTTAACAGTTGAAAGGGGATTGATGATTTGATCTTCCAGTTTTGACGAAAGACGCTGCTGACTGTCTTTGGAAAAGGATGTCGGCATGAGGTGCAATTGTGCTTGTGAAGTGGTTATAACTGGTCTTTTCACAGTATTAAATGAAATGTGCCATTGCAGCCAAGTGTGTTATCATATAAGGTAAAATCAAAACTACAATGTTGGTTTTACGAGCATTGAGAAGGCTGGTAGGTAACACCTGCCTGTGCTCGTAAATCACATGGTGCCAAAGTATTCTAAATTAATTTCATCATACACTTTTGTTGTCCAGAATGGTTGCACTATTGTTTGGTATCATGTTATTCCATGTAATATGGTAGTGTACGACAGGCTCTAAGCCTAAAAATCCCGATACTGTAAGGTAAGGTAAGGTTAAGTCCGACCAACATGTTACCAGATTTGAAGCTGTTACGTTACCTAAGTACCTGTTTTTTACTGGCGTGGTGAATGTCACCTGGATTTTGTTTTGAGGTGCAGACCTTGTAACTCTGACTACATGGGTTTGAAACTATTATCTATTCTGTTTTTACTGGCCTGGTGAATGGCGACTGATGTTCGTGGATGGCACTGAAACAAATTTTGAGTGTCATGTACAGTGTTTTAATACAATGCTGAGGGCTGAAAGTTGTCTTGTTTAGAGTGGTGAAAGTTCAGGATATGCCAGCCACCATGGTGGGTCAGAGTTAATGTGTTGCAGTCAGTTCGGCTTCGGCAAGCACATGGATGGGCATACGCATCAAGACCTGCTCTGCCATACTTTCAGCCAATTTTACCTAGGTAAGTCTTTTCTTTTTTTCTGCCAAAAGCTATGACATTGTGAATTTCAGTGCTGTGGCCTGTGTGTAGCTTTCAGGAAAGCAATTCTTAATAAAGCTCTGATAAAGTGCAAAATCAGCAATGCAGCCCTCTATTACATTTTCTACAACATCTTACTTGTTCCTTGCATGGAGAGAAAAATGCAATGTTATGAATTCGTTTATTCACATAATTTGACAAGCATGCAGTTACCTGCTACTATCACTGCACAAAACAGAGCAGAAAACATCAGTTGATCAAACACAAGACACAACAGAAGTTTACAACATAGGGCTGCCGAACCTGCTTCCTCCCACCACAGTTGATGCCATTTCCTAGCCTGGCTTGATGTGAGCACTGAATAGCTGCTCTGTCTAATTACAGCTCACTACCATTCAACTTAAACTACTATCTTTAAAGTAAGAGTGAGAGCGTTCAGTGTTCATAGCAGCTCGACAGACGACAGACAACAAACTTGACAAACCAACCAGTATTTGATTTGGCTAATGATTTATGTGCTTGTTGTATCATGGCCAAACTACTTTAAAAGCAATAATCCCTGTTTCATCTTGATCTTGCGTTTATTTCCATTTGAACTCAGATCTTGAAACAATCATCTGAAGTGATATCATCTACTGGCTTCTGTTTCTCTTGAAAGAAAGTTAAAACAACAATGATAAACTAAGGCAGGAGATGTGAGTTGTGGCAGTAGATTTTTGATTCAACATATGTCAACCTTATATTGCTTGAGACCTCTGTGACAGACAAACAAATATTTATAGTTTTTTGATAGTTTGGATTCTTGGCTTGATTTAGCAGATCAGCTGTGAACCTTGACTTTGAAATCACATAAATGTCATGGTACCCGAACGAATCCTCGCATGATATTTCTTCGTAGCACAATTTTTCGTCCGCATTTCTTCGTCTACAAATCTTCGTCGGTGCATTTATTTGTCCCTCAATGCTTACTTTTGCATATAGGTATTTGCGTTGAAGAAGAAATGCGAGCCGATTTTCATATACCCTGATGCGAGACAAAGTAATGCGATACGAATAAATGCCCTGACGAAGATTTGCAGACGAAGAATTGCGATACGAAGAAATGCCATAAGAAGAATTGTCCTGGAATCCTTTATTGGCCATCATATATTGACCTTGATAAGATAAACGCATCATTCGCGCAATATTTGTCGCACTTTGATACCAAACTATTGCTTCCAAATGCCGACGTAAAGAAAACCTTTACGTGACGTCATAGAAACAACGGAGTTCCCAAAAAGTAAACAAAAATAAAAGTCTTATATCTCGAAAACGGGTGAATATTTTCCGGTAAAATTTGGTAGATGCTCATTTTCGCTCTTTGTGATTCACGCTACATCACTTTTATGCCAGTTCATTAACTTTTTTGAAGGTGGGAGGGTCCCTTTAAAGCGGGCACTTTTATGACAGATGCATAAAACACACAAATGACCATTGACCATATTATCAGAACGTTCTGGAAAAGTTTCGTGACTTTCATGCCTACCAGGGCGGCCCAAATTAGTTTCCCTGGTACTGGCACGGGTCATGCTCATGGGTAATCGGCTTTTTGCAAATCTTGAGCTCATGCTTAATGCAGGCATTTTGTGCACCAAACGATATGATGGTGGTTAAGATTTGACGGTTACAAATATCGAGAGGGGAATGAAAGTTGTATTGCGCATTTTAGTTTCTTGAAATTTTCCATTACAGGATATGTAGGTATGTACCGTAGTTTTTTCTTCATAAAACGTCTAATAAATCATTTGAATAGGTAACTCGCTACAGCTCCCTCCTTAGCTCAGCAGTTATTTGCAACAGTTCTCTGAATGAGACTCTTGAGCAAAATTTGGTTTAAAATGTAACATGCAACTGCGTCTCAGCAACAATGATCCCACATAGCGCGGGCGGACCGCACCACTGCGGCCGGCCATCCGCGACCGGGGAGCCTGGACCAGAGCCCCCCTCCCTATCAATCGACCCGTCCACCGCGCGGCACGCGCCCCCCCCCCCCCCCCCAGCGGCGTCACGCGACCGTGTGACGATCCGTGACGTGACGCGCTGGGGGCGTAATTACACGTCTGTGCGGGCACTGGGGACGGCCGCTGTCTGGTCTGAAATGGACGCACTGCCAGGGCACCAGGGGATTCCCAGTTAGCGATATGTGGCAAATGGGTTATCATGTCACGTATAGTGTGCAAAATATTACAGACGGGTTTACAAGAATGATGGACGTAGGATTATATGGCAACTGTTGCCGTTGGAGTTAGAAGTGCAGATTTTTCTTCGAGCTAACAAATATTGATCGAAAGGGCTATACGGAGTAAATTTGCTTCAAAGCCCATCCCATCGCCATGTTACATAGCTTCATGTAGGCATGAAGCTATGTAACATGGGGTGGAGCCTTCCATTTCGCGTCTAGCTAGACGCATCAAGTCTTAGACACGTCTAGCTGGACCGCGGCTGCATCTATCTGACGACAGCTAACTTTAGACGCTTCTAGCTTGGAAGTCTCCGTCCAACAGTTAGCCACCAACTTAGACGCCAACTTGGACGTCTGCTCAGTTGGACGCCAGTTGGACGCCAGTGGAAGTCTCCACAGATGAAAAATGCAACGTCGCTGTATGCATGCATGCATGTATGAAGTATAGCTTCGTCGCTGACTTGAACGATAATGCACAACGGACAACGGTACGGGAAACCAATGCTGGGGGGTTCGTGCAAAACGGATAGGCAACTACCGATGCCGGGCGCATATAAAGTCCATTTCACGCCCGGTTCGGCAGCTGGCACAGAGCATGGCAGGTGCGGCAGGTGCACCACTCGGGCAGTGACCGGCGCGTGGCCGTATCGCACACAGGTGAATTCCCACCCAGCAGTGGGACAGGGGCGAGTTACATGGAATGGAACCAGCCTCACCTGTCGTTGCCCAGAAGCCGGAACACGCGCGAAGGATCGGTGATTTCCTGGGTGACCTCGTTGTTGACGAAGCTGCGTCCCTGCATGCCGTGCTTGTGAAACGCCAGCACGCTGTCCGTCAGGCACACTGGGTACACAGGGTCAAGTCAGGTCAGGTCAGGTCAGGGTCAGGTCAGGTCAGGTCAGATAGCAGGATGTGCAGCCGATTGGTAATACATTCGGTAACGATAAAAAATCAATTCAGGACAGACAGTGCGGTCACGCCTGCCACGATATATGAGTGTCGTTTAACGACTCCTCCAAAACGTAAACAAGCAATAACGCGACGACATGTTTGGATGTTTTAAATTAAGATGGGTTCCATTAAGACCGGCTTCCAAAACATCGTTGAGCCTAGGGACCTTGGAATTGATCCATCCGGTTCGTAACAAAGGTGTAGGCGTATTTTTCCGCCGTTAAGGAAAACGCAGCGCCCGCCTTACATATACGTGTCACGCTGTCATCATGCACGGCCCAACTTACCGACACTTTCTACGTTGAAGTCAAAACGTAGCTCGGATATTTGTTTTCGCGAGGTTTTCGGTTTTCCGTTGAGGTCCACCACCTGAGGAAGAGTTGAAATCAACGTTAGGACGCCTGAACACTCGCCAAATAACCCACCTAGACCTCATTTATCATCAAATTACCTACAATAGATCCCCAACGCTGCCCATTGATTGCATAGGGTAGTGTGGGGTAATTTGAACACATTTTTACGTCTTTTCCGTTGTGCCAAATTCCAGCTCAACCCTGGATGAAGAAAAACTGTTTCAGTAGCGCATGTGTCACTTGCTTTCACCATGCAAGCCTCATTTTTGGACGAGCCGAGCATACCTTGAATAGCATAGCATCACTTCTCCACCAAGTCACGGTGTGTTCAAATTGCCCCACCGTGGGGTAATTTGAACATACTGTCTTTACCTGCCGTAAAAACGATAGTCTCGCCAGCACCGATGTTGTTTGACCCATAAACGAATAGGCAGAGCAATTCTAAACATACCTTCATTTGAAAAATCAACACAACAACAAAAATAGCAGATGCAGAGTATCAATATCTGCACGCTGCACACCGGTCAGTTGACAGAATTCGCCTCTTTTCAATTAACAGAACGTCTATCATCTCCGTTCGATATAAACTCTACCAAACCTTACTTCATCTGTTATAGTGGTGCCAATCGGAACCTGGACATTCGGAGTTCCGATTCGTTAAAATGTCCAATTCGGAATTGATTGCACAAAGGTATAGTAGTCTGGACAACATTGGACGATGGCCTGCCACACTTAAGCATTTTTATCAGGTAATCGTGCGTAGCATTGATTGGCGAATGGAAAGCTGTTAAGCTCTCAATATAATGAACACTTCGGCTGGTAAAATTACATGATAAGCAATATAAATGACGGTTTTGAGTGTTGATAGCTGCATAATTTTGGGACATATTTGGACAAATAGTTGACTTGAACATTTTGGGACGGAAAATCAGCGAAAATGCCGGACATTAGACGGATATTAGACGTAAATTTTCTAAAACTGGCATCGCTTATCTGCTACTGCTTTGGGTCCAAAATATTGGCAAAAAAAAACTGGGAGCGTTTTTTTTTTTCGGAGCTATCCCTGTTTTCATTGAAATTCTCACACTATGTTCAAATTACCCCACGCTAAAAGTTATTTTGCCATTCTTAAAAACAGGGTTCAAAAGCAAATTTATTGGATTGAAGGCACTGCTTAGGTCATTGTACAACAAAAGCCGTTGCGTATTAGGCGCTAGCAATGCAAGATTTTGCGCTGCAATCATAGGCGGCGGAACGATTTGAGACAAGGGGGGGCACCAGCTCAAGGAGCCAAACCTAGGGTACCCCCAAATCCTGTTTTCTCATCGGATTTAGGCCACTTGTTTTTCGTCACAGCCCTGACACGATGATTTTTTATTTTTTATTTTTTTTTTTACTCAACGAAAATGGCAGTTCACCCCCGTATGTGTGGTTAACTTTAAGCTGATCTGATCCTCAAGTACCTATGTGTTTGTCTCTTCCTTATTCTCGTTTGATAAATTCCATTAATCCTACATGTATCAATTACCAAGAAGCCATCGCAGTACTAATCAGTGGCGAATCCCAGGGGGGAGGTCACATGGGTCATGACTTTGGGCCTGGGGTCACCACATGCCTGCCAGGAGCACCACAGGCCCGCCAGGGGTACCACAGGCCTAGCAGGGGCACCAGGGGCTTGTCAGGAGCACCATCGGCCTAGCAAAAGCACTACAGGTCTTCCAGGGGCATCACAGACCTGCCAGGGGCACCAGAGGCCTGCCAGGGGCACCAGAGGCCTGCCGGGGGCACTATCGCCTTCGCAGGGGAACCACCGGCCTCGCAAGGGCACCATGGGCCTGTCAAGGGCACCACAAGCCTGTCGTTGGCACTTTAGGATTGTCAGGGGCACCACAAACCTGTCAAGGGCACCTGCGTCCTAACAGTGGCACCGCAGGCTCGCCAGGGGCACCACAGACCTGCCAAGGCCCAGGGACACCACAGGCCTAGCAAGGACACCACAGGCCTGTCAGGGGCACCACGGGCCTGTCAGGGCCCACGGGCACCTAAGTCATGTGCAGGGCCCACCGTAGGCTTGTCAGGGGGCAGGGTAGGTAGGTACCACAGTCTTTCCAGGGGCACCAGCGGCCTAGCAGGGGCACCAGTCATCACACGACTAACCAAAAATAAAGAAAATAAAAAACTGAAAATAGGGCACCACCAAAATTAAGTGGCCGAAATCCGTTGAGGTTTTAATTTTGGGTATAGGTAGGGGCACCACTTCGATTCATGACCCTCCCCTTGGAGTTTTCCCGAATCCGCCCCTGGTACTAATGCATCAAATTTAAGGGGGGGGGGGGCACCTTGCTATTGGTGCCCCCCATTCAGAATTCAAGGGGGGGGGCACGGTGCCCCGGTGCCCCCCCCCCGTTCCGCCGCCTATGGCTGCAATGAAGTTGCAATGAAGTGTTGTTAAGCGTTTTTCCTTGCGAAATTGATTTTTTACACTGTGCGTCAACATCTTCATTCCCTGAAACTTTAAACCCCGGTCATATGACAGCCCTTTTAGTTACGATAATTTCTCTCATTGGTCTTATTGTCATGCCACTTATGGATTTTCCGTAATTTTGTGTTATTCACACTATGTTCAAATTGCCCCACATGTTCAAATTACCCCACCCTACCCTAATTACTAGTGCGGAAACACGAAATTCATCGCTTTCAAATCTCAAACTCCACGAGAACGCAGTGCGTGCAACGCGCAACAATATGCTTTTTTCCCTTTTCTTTTTTTGTCCGAACCTTTTGAATGGAGGTAGGTATTCACAAGGACAGAGCCTCCGTTAAGCTGAGCTTGTTGCGTTGGCCCTGCCCTCCACCCTCCGATCGCGCAATTTCTCTCTATGGCAGAATTTAGAGTCCGAAGTTTAACGCATACGGACGCCCCCCCCCCCCACTGTGTGTATTGTGTGTATTTGTGTGTATTTGGTATAACCGTCAACAGGACATGCCCAATTAACCCGCGCCCGGCTGGGGGTCCTGGATTTCCACGCCCTGCTGGGGGGGGGGGGGTGTTTGAACACCCCCCCTTGTAACTCGGCTCCTGGGCCACGTAGCGATACGCGGAAGGCGGCGTTCGAAAGAGCGTAAAAAATAATGACGAAATCACTTCGGTCAATTTTTTGGTCAGGTCAAAGGTCAGGTCACCAGAGGTCATTGAAGGCAAAATTGCGCCGATTTCCAGGTCGAATGTCGAAAATTTCCAAGAAGCTAACGCATAACTCGAGAACCAATAGAGCTACAGCGCCGCAGAAAAGTGCATTCGATAGCCCTATTAACGCCCTTTCTGAGTAATTCTCTCAGATTTGACCTAACGTCAACGGTTTTGCCTGCAGGGGGCAAAAACTGCGAAAATAGCCGATTTTTTTCGGAAACAGTTTTTCTGCAATAACTTTTGACCCAAGCCTTGTACGAGCTTACTTTTACCGGCATCGTGTTCCTCTCGTCAAGACGCATCGAATGAACTATAGCTTGACCTTGAAAGGTCAACTTGAAAATTTGACCTCAGGTCAAGGTCATGACCTGACCGGAAAGGGTCATGTTGCATATCAGTCGATCCGTATAGTCGAGCTGAACACATATAAGGCGTTTTCATCGCTCTAGCATGCCTCTATCAAAAGTTATTTGCGAAAAACTGTTAGATACCATTCGTGACCTAAGATGACCTCAGGGCACAAACAAGGGTCACGGACACCATTTTCATGTTCAGTGTGTCTAAACCACTTGTAATTTGGTGTTTGGGAGTGTTTATAATGTCTTTCGTCCAAAAGAGGCGCATTTCAATTTTCTCCCATTGACTTATAATGGGGAGGTCGCAAAATTGACCTGACCTTAGGTCATCGATATCAAAATTCTGAGATATACATTTTGTACATGCTATTGCTCTTAGCAATCGCTGAAAGTTTCAAAGCGATCGGTCACTCGGTGTAGCTATGACAGACATTGAAACTTTTTATGAGGTGAGGTCACTTCAAGTGACCTGGTGACCTGACCTTGAATGACCGTGGTCTGAAATTTTCACAACATGTGTAGAATTGATGTATGATAAGGTGTACCAAAAACGGCGGCGCTCCGCGCCGCCGTTTTTGAGATACTCGCGAAAAACCACAAGGGGGGGGGGTGTTCAAACACCCCCCAGCAGGGCGCGGGTTAAAGACGGAGTCAAATAGAGATCACCTTATGCATAAATAGACATCATATCAGGTTAAAAGTTAAAAGTTAAAAACACAAGTTCATAAGGAACATGTTCGAACATATGCGCGAGCCTCGGCCTTGAACGCAACTTTCCTGTCAAACAAGTCAGCAGTAGGCTGTCTGGCGCACAGGTCATTCACAAGGCGTGGAAGACGACAAAACATACCATTTCTGATAGTGTCCACCCTAGCTGTGGGCTCATGCAAAACAGCCCGAGATCGAGTCTGACCGCTGGGAACGGCAATGGAGAACATGCTCAGAACATTGAGTGAGCTAACGCGTCCAGAGAAAACATTGTGTATGAAGTTAAAATCGTTCAGCGCAAGTCGTCTACCAATGCTTAAAACACCAAAATGCTGTAGCAGAGCACCATAGTCCAAGGATTCGCAAGGTCTGGTTGAATGTACCGCAAGCCACATTAGAAACTTGTGTTGAATCCTTTCAATGCGTCTAAGATGCGTTTTCGCAGCTCCCGCCCAAATTACACTGCCGAATTCTATAACGGAGCGGATGTGAGCATTGAAACCGGCTATCAAGGGGAATGGTGGAAACTTCCTTTCCCCATGCACACGATGGGATGACAGGGAGCGTAAATACATACCCAGGGCAAGATTCGCCCTCCCCAGAACGCTGTCAATGTGTGAACCAAATGTCAATTTTGAATCGAGAATAACACCTAGATCTCGCATCTCAGAGACGCGCTCTAATGCTAAATGGTTAATGTGATAGGTAGAAACAATTGGCTTTTTCCGAAGAGTGAAAGTAATGACCTTGCATTTAGCTGGGTTCAGATGTAATTTTCAGACCGAAGACCACTCAAAAAATTTGTCCAAATCGCGTTGAAGAAGTGCAGCGTCACAGGGAGAGCGAATGCACCGACTGAGCTTCATATCATCGGCATACAAAAGACATGTTGAGCTGAGGTGCTCAGCTACGTCATTGCAATACAAGACAAACAGGATCGGTCCGCAGATACTGCCTTCGGGCACCCCAGATACGACTGGGGTCCAGTCAGATTTTTTACCATTCAGTACAACGCACTGTTCTCTATCATAAAGGTACGATCGAAACCAGCTTAGGGCGGCACCAGTCAGATGATAAGAGTTTTTAAGTTTGTGCAGCAACAGCTCATGATTAACAGAGGTAAAAGCGGAAGAATAGTCCGTGTAAATAACATCTGTCTGATGACCACTCGCGACTGACCCCCACAGCTGATACATATGACATGTTAAGTTCGATTCACACGAACGACCAGCGAGGAAGCCATGCTGATCGGTTGACAGCACCGGCGACACGTGCTGAATCAGCTGATCACACACCACGCGCTCCAATACCTTGGAACAGATGGACAAGAGCGAGACAGGACGGTAATTGTTGGCATCTTGACGGCTACCTTTTTTATGTACAGGAACTACGTGACTCCGCCGCCAAATACGAGGAAACTGGCCAGTACTCAGGGACAAGCGACAAATCTTTGTCAGCGGAACAGAGAGTTCGTGGGCGCATTCTGACAAAATCCGTCCGCTCAGTCCATCCGGTCCACAGGCTTTATGGACGTCAATAGACAGAAGTACACGTAACACATGCTCGTGAGTAACGGTAAACTGAGAACAACTGTCAATGTCATACGATGGTGTCTCAGGAAAAACATTCGCTATTGGGCTTGAGAATTTTGCCGCAAAAGCACGCGAGAAACACTGTGCCCGCTCAAAATCGTCACATATGATTCGATCACCGTCTTTCAGGGTAGAGATGGAACTGCTCTTCTTTACAGATTTTAGCAGAGACCAAAAGCGTTTTGAGTTCACTTTGAAATCGTCTATAATGTGCATGAGGTAGCGCCTGTACTTACTGCCGCAACCATACCCGCCAGGAGGCTCATAAACATCGAGCGCCCGTCGCGCTTCGAACCCGGACTGTTATAACCGGGAACACGTGCTCTCACCACGCGGAGACCAACGCTCTGCCGACTGAGCTACGGGACCGGCTAAATAATACACAATATGGCTGTATAATATAAAACATGGTAGAATCTATAATATAATATTCTATAATACAACAGTACGCGATACCAAAGTGTATCGCACCAACACGCCCGGAAAGCGTTTACACGTCGCTGTCTTCCAATTGTGTTCTCGGCAACTACCAACTCTGTAATGCATTACTCTTCCACAGCCAGCACCTCGCCGCACCCACAACGACACATCGACAAAACAAAACTAGCCACCATCGGTATGCACAAACATCCGGGAGTATCAATCCCGGAAAAACGCTCAGCACCAGGCCGTTCCTCCGCGGGGCACAAAACCTCCGGCGCCGAGCCGCCTGTCCGTCACGTGACGCCCGTAGCGTGACGCGGCTGTGACCTCAGACCGTGACGCCACAGGTGGTCATGACGCTATGACCGGACAATGTTATTGTGTATGTTGTAGTGTCACTTCAGGAACGATTGAGGCGATGTAGCGGTCGCCACCTGTTGAGCCGCTGCTCGTCCTGCATACCCTCTTCGGTAGACGGAGCGATGCCCCAGCCCCGGTCAGCGGGGCTCCAGCGGGGCCGTTTGGTACTTATGTCGCAGTAACGACGGTCCGACCTCCTTCAGCAATGGATGTGGGTTGGCATACTACGTCGCAGTCTGAGCCGCCAACAGAATGATAAGCTGGCTCTTTACCATCAACCGTTGCCGCTTTGCCGTAACGGCAGAAGCCATGGCCGTAGTAGTTCACGCATTCACTATAGCGAATGTAGGAAATGGCTCAACGCTTTTGCTAATTGCATTCCATTTACTACTGGACTTGCTTGCGACATGCACCGCTTGCTGTATGTCGGGGCGGGCGGCATCCGTTTCCTTCATATTCCGCCCCATAGGACGAATATCGGCTTTGTAACTGAGGTCATAAGCCACGTCGGTAGACACGCTTATCGGCTATCGACCAAACATGCATATTATCTGGGCGATAGCAGAGACGCTGCCTGTCCGCGAATCCTGTAAATTTGATGAGGAAAGGGTATGAGGGACTAGGGAGGCAGGGAGAGAGAGAGAGAGAGAGAGAGAGAGAGAGAGAGAGAGAGAGAGAGAGAGAGAGAGAGAGAGAGAGAGAGAGAGAGAGAGAGAGAGAGAGAGAGAGAGAGAGAGAGTCGGCGGAATTTACGCCTCGTTCCACCTCAGCGCCTGACCCCGTTCGTCCCACACCTAACACAGTGCCTGCCGGCCGGCCAGACATCCGTCACCCACAGTTTGACAGAGTCCTGTCGGCAGTCTGACAGTCGTCAGCCGGCCGGGGATCAACCGTCACGAACAGCAGACCGTTCCCTCTACCCTCGGGAGGGGGGGGGGGGGGGGTGGCAGACTGAGCTGCTGGAAATGCTGTGGTGGCGTAGTGTGTCCTGTAAAGCCTTACGGGACCGGGCTAGTGGCTCACCAGCATATGCATATGTGCGATAAGTGAATGCCATAATATGATGGAGGCAGTGTTCTAAAATTGGATATTGGTTGGGTGTGCCGATGAAGAAAAAAAATCTTAGGATGAAAAAAAAAAGAAAGTAAATAGCTGCAGTATTTTTGCAAAATGGTTTAATGCCAATTTTTATGCTAACTGATAAACCAGGATTTCATGTCAGGATCTTGACAGGGTGTGGAACAAAAGGATGTGGGTGCATCAACTGTCAAGTGACAAGTGAACTGGCTGTTGGGAATACATGAAACTCTTTTCAGAGATGAAGTAAAGTTGGTCATTCATATTTTAGAGATGAAAATATTTTCCCCATTAGGTGTGATTTGCCACCAAAAAGGCTGAAAAATGAAACACTGGATGGAGGTGATCCCTTGTTCCTAAACTATTCAACGCACCTGCTCTAATGGCAATGCAACTAGGAAGTGAAAAGTGTATAACACATAAAAGTAATGCTGCCCCGGCGATAGGCAGTGTCAGGCACCCTTTCATATGCACATAGGGAGAAAGGGAGAAAGCCAGATCGGCATCTAATTGTATCACCAGGCCGGCCCGATTTTCTGACCCTAGTATCTCTCTCCCGGCGTATCACGGCAGCGTCCGGCCAACCTCCGCTCCCCTCGGCCACCCACCTGGACGATGTTATCGTACGCCACGAGCACAGCATCCCGCTCCAGCTGCGTGACGGCCTGCACGTTCAGCCTCTCGGCGGCGCGCACCACGGTGGCCGTGCCGTCCATGTCCTCCAACTCACAGCCGGGGAACCACGAGCTGGCCGTGTTCTGGGGGAGCGCGCGGCGTCAGAGACAGGCTGGAGGAACCACGAGCTGGCCGTGTTCTGGGGGAGCGCGCGGCGTCAAAGACAGGCTGGGGTCGTCTGGGAGCGGTCCCTCTGTGTCCCCAAGTTCTGGGGGAGGACGCGGCGTCACAGACAGGCTGGAGGAACCACGAGCTGGCCGTGTTCTGGGGGAGCGGGCGGCGTCACAGACAGGCTGATAAACAGACAGACAGACAGATAGACAGGGAGGGAGTCGTCTGAACAGTGTTTGGGGGATTTTTATCAATGTGGTTCGAAATACTTAACAGATTGACAGGTCCGCTTGAAATAGAAGTCTAAAGTGATAATTGTGGTATGAAATGTTGACATTCATGTCAGCGATAATGCCTTTTACGAGGGACAAATTAAAACGTGCTCGAAACCCAAGTCACTCTCTGTCACTTAACGGAACACATTACACGTACGATCACACCGATGTTACGACATCGGTGCAATAACAGAGCTGATATAACTGCATACGTGTGACAGCAAGCGAAACTTCAATAACCACACCATTTGGATATTGCATGACTGTACAGCGTGATATTCATTGTCAGACGAAATGGACCGGAACAGTAAAGGTCACCCGTCATTCGGGCAGGCCTCCGGTTTATCAGTCACGCCAGTCATGCCAGTACAACTACGCGCAGTTTGGATGTGTTCGCGTATCCGCACTTGTCAAACATAGCACATCACCCCCGCCCACCACCACAACATTTTTTGTTCTTCCGGAAGTTGAATCGCCCCGTGGGGGCATTCTTTCAATGACAACGGATGCGATGGGATAGGTGTGCATTATGTAATGTGTACTGTATACCGCCATTATGCAAGCATTACGTAAGCAGGTAATAAACAAAAGACTGTCTGTAAAGATAAAACGGTTCCGTTCCGGGGATTATCAAACGTTTGCAGCCTGGGGACCGTGACGGTCTAACGGTCTGACGGACCATGACGGTCATCAGAACTATGGTAATCACTGGCTTACTATCAGTAGGGCTGTGCCGGCGTGAAATCAATAATGGTCTTTTATGTGAGGCGCTGCATCTCTGATTACAACGTGACGACCTAACTGTGCACTGAAGTCACGGTACATAGCACGCTGAGCGGGACAATCTCCTCACTAGCAAATAGGTCACCACCGTTATGAACAAACATTCGCGCCCATGAAGCAAAACTCGTCACGATTGTAGTCGAAAACTCCACGCTGCGATCTATAGCTCATTGCACAGTCAAAATAATATTGCAGAACCGCCCCCCCCCTCCCAAAAACAAACACAAGGTGTTACAAAGCCTACGGAGCACACCTCTGAGCCATAGCCGCCGGCCCGCCGTCCCACTCACCAGGTTAATCATATCGAGCTGCAGCGTGCCGGGCTCGTAGCCGCGGCGAACGTCCACGCAGATGAGCGGGTACTCCATGTCGGGGGTGATGACCATCTCGAACACTCGCAGCTCACTGGGTACGTAACACTCGTGGTGCTGGCAACACGGGGGGGGGGGTCAGTTAGCGAAGGACCCCCGCTCAGAAGACACGCACATGGCGCAACCGGTAGACTGGCAAAGGGCACAGTCCCTTTATGCCCTTAGGCAAGGCACAGGGCTTCCGCTCAGTCTTCACAGGACGTCCGCTCAGTCCACGCAGGGCGCCCGCTCAGCAGTCATGGGGTGTCCGCTAGTCGACTGAGAACCACGTACGTACGTCGATCGCCGGGAGGAGTCAAAATGGGATCACGGACAGTGCCGGTAGAAATCGGGCCCACAAACTCATGTAGGTACTGGGTTTGTGATTGCGCGGAAATAAACACTATGCAAAGTTCGTGTTTGTTGTTAGCTCTAAAATCAGCTGCCGACGGGACAGAGAAAGAAAGGAAAGGTACGAATTGTGTACGCTCGGTTACTTGAAAGGAGAGTTCAAAAGTAATTTTTGCGTTGAAAACAGCACTTTACTAAGATACATTCCTAATTCAAAACCAATATCACATGAGTCAACTAACAGATCTCGTTTCAAACGAGCCACTTAGCAACAAGGCACACGTGCAAGGAGCATGCCCCACCTTTTTTCAGCGAATCACTCAATACAAGACACAGTCATGCCACCCCGACATCAGGACAGCAAGCCTTTTGTTAGAATCTAATCGGTTATATCAAATACTCTTGACCAGTGTTGGCTCCGCATGAACAGTAAATGGCTACATAGTATTTATCTAGCATACTGAAACACAATGATTGTTTAGCAAACAAAGAAGCAGCGTTTCGAAAAGCAGCCCGGGTAATATTCTTATTAATGCTATCGGGCCAGAATTTCAAACACGACGATTATGATTCGGAGTTTGGACTTCACTGCACCATGAATGATGTGATCATCGCCAGCCAAGAATGAGTCAGTATTTTTCTGACATTCAACTAAGCACGAGCATACGGTTACCCCAATAACATCGAACAACCCCTAGATACAAACTCTATAAATCTCCCTGCCGACTACCGACAATACATCCCTCCCTCCCCCTCTTCACTAACTCTCCGATGTCTTCCTCTCTTCCAAACCTTCCTTCGGCAGCCCTCATCTTTTCAATCTCTTACCATCCGTTTCCCCAGCCCCCTACCTCCCCCTCTCTCTCTCTCTCTCTCTCTCTCTCTCTCTCTCTCTCTCTCTCTCTCTCTCTCTCTCTCTCTCTCTCTCTCTCTCTCTCTCTCTCCCTCTCTCTCTCTCACCTTCAGAAGCAGAAACTTGTTGAGCGGATCGTACCACTGCATCAGGAAAATTCCCGACGGCACCGCGCCACACAGGTACTTGTAGCCGTTGAACGGGTTACGACCCATGCAGCAGCGCTCACAGCCTTTGGTATCCGGTACCTGTCAGCACGGAGAGGGAGGTGGGGGTCAATGGGGGCTGGTGTGAGGAGGGGTGGGGGCAATGGAGGCTGGTGTGCAGGGGAGGGTAATTGGAGGCTGGTGTGAGGAGGGGTGGGGGCAATGGAGGCTGGTGTGCAGGGGAGCGTAATTGGAGGCTCGTCTACGGGGAACCACAGCTCAGCTTAGCTTGTTTACTCTGTACTAGAGCGATGATAAGCCACCCGCTTCGGACGTGGCGAAATTGTTGATGAAATTTTTACAGTCTGATATCTGGGTAGAGTCCAGAGTCAGCGAAAAAAAAACTAAATCAACTGCTAACCATGCAATAAACTTAAGAACTCAGCTCATTACAGCCTAGACGAGCCGAAACACCTGACCAGGCCCCCAACAACAACTCTTGTGCTGCACCATGGTGATCCAGGAACAACCGATCACAGTACAGGCAATCGAACACGTGACCATGTGAGCCGATACTCTAGGTCACACCGCCGTGGGTAGGTAAAGAGTCACGTGACATAGCACGGTCACACACCGTATGGGTAGTGTTGTGAATATTGAATGTGACACGCAGTGGGACACGGCGGGCCCTGAGTGATGGCAGTGGGAGCAGCATATCGACCCATAGCGACACGTCAGTAGCCGCCAACGTCCACGGTGGGTCGGGAGATACCGGGCTATTCCACTCGATATTTATCAGGATCAACGAGTAACAAAGGTTTGGTCTTATGTCACTGTTTGATCAATTCAACTTTTTGACACGAGGGCAAAGAGAACGTCTAAGCACTTAAGCACACAATACGTCATCCCTGCACAGCGACAGACGCCATGGTGAGTTTGCGGCGCCAGGCTGCTGGCAGAGCTCACCTTTGTCGTCATGGCGAACTTCCTCGGTACCAGCTTCTCCGGGATTTTGTTCACGTTCAGTGAAAACCGGTTCAGCTGCCGCGAATGGAGCGCTAGCAGGTCGTGACGGTAGAGACACGGGTTCTTCAGACCTGTGAAACGGAGCAAATACTCATGTGCAAAATTGCAGACAGACGGGCACACACATTGAACATACACAGCGCACCAGTGGACAGTGCCATCAGCACTTTTATTCGCGTTTAATTAGGACTTGTGCTGACTCGCCATTGTTGGTTGGGACCCTGCGAGCCACCACCCACAATTACCTCATCAGTGAAGCCATCATGTTTCAAGCATGTGGTTGTCATCAAACTTCCGGTTCATTTATGTAGGTCAAAAAAGTAATAAAAATGCTTAAAAATATAAATTCCTGTCCAAACAAACAACTTCAAATGGGGACAAATACGGACGCACGAAACAAAGCGGTAAACCGAGGTCGATATCAAAAAGTGTCCTGCCCTGAGGACAGCGTGGCACACCAATAATCCCCAATACACCCAATATTCACCTATTCCCCCCCCCCCCCCCAAACCAGCGCCCGACTCCCCTCATCCCTCATCCCCGCGGAGGGAGGGGAGGGTAGGGGACACCGACCTGAGACGCTCATCAGGGTGTCTTTCACCACGACCATCCAGGTGGTGCGCCGGTTGAACAGCTGCTCCATGGTGGCTTCGTGTAGCTGGTTCAGGTTGAGCGTGTAGACACCCTCGGCGGCACCCAGCAGGATGTGCTGGTCGTGGGTGAGCGGGTGCACCCAGGTGGTGGTGCACAGAATGTGCAGCGGACAGCCGTTAAACACCTGTAGACGGTAGCCGCTAGGTTAGGGGTTACATTTATAGCAGGCACGGCTAGCGGTTGGACGCTGGGTCACTCTGCGCTTTGAGCCATATCGATAAGTCAGACAGCGTTATCGAATGTAGGTGCGGCTCTCAGGATTTAGGTTTATGACAATCATTAAAACATGGCAGTTTCATCCACGTGGTAACTGATACAAGTATCACCTACTGAACGCTGTGTCCACAGAGCACGGGGTCTGAGCGGGTTTCACCACTCGGTGAGCCGAGCTATCAGAGCTAAACTCTCGACAACAACACAACTGAGCAATCAATTCGTGCATACCTAATAGCCCAGTCGGATTATGTAACAAACAGTTCTTCCCTCGTGAGCATACATGACGTGACATAGCCTATTGACTTATTTTTGATAAGCAGGTGCCCACGTGGTGACTAACGAGACAACTGTGAAAGGCAAGAGTCCATGCGGTAACGCATCACCCACCTTTGAGAAGCGGGCGCCCATATCGGGCCGTTGATTGTGACCCACCTTTGAGAAGCAGGCGCCCATGTGCACTTTGGGAGTGGGAGGCAGCCCGTTGGACACGGGCCGCGGTGGCGTCGCCTTGCGGAACTTCTCTCGTCGGCGCGGCGGCGGCACCGGTGAAGAGGGGCCCGCCTCGCCGTCGGCGGCTGCCGCGTCGGCCCCGTTCGCTGCTGCAGAGGGAGGGGGTCATGGAGTTGTGACAGGTCATATGGGTCACACTTCCATGGGTGTTTCACGACGTTTATATTATCTTACGTTGTTTTCAGAATCAAATAAATTACCGGAATAGTTCAAGGCTTTTAAATTTCATATGAAACAGGCTTACGAAATTTTAAACTCAATCTTAAATGGTCATTTGTTATGTAGATCATATGTGTTGGGAGACTACCATTCCTTGACCAGCTTGGCAGCTACTGGAGCGATGATAAATTGTCACCGACAGGGTAAACCCAAGACAAGAGCAGGCACCGAGTCCGGTCGGGGTGGCGTCGGAGTCAGGTTAAAACTGAGTCAGGTCAGAGCCGAGTCTGGTCAGCGCCGTCCCACCTGTGGGCTGTCCCACCTACAGTCTGTCCCACCCCATGCTGTCTCACCCCGTGCTGTTCCACCTCGGGCTGTCCCACAGGTGTGAGCTGTCCCACCCCGGGCTGTCCCACCTACAGTCTGTCCCACCTACAGTATGTCCCACCCCGGACTGTCCCACCTGTGGGCTGTCCCACCCCGGGCTGTCCCACCTACAGTCTGTTCCACCTACAGTCTGTCCCACCTACAGTCTGTCCCACCTTCAGTCTGTCCCACCCCGTGCTGTCCCACCTCGGGCTGTCCCACAGGTGTGAGCTGTCCCAACCCGGGCTGTCCCACCTACAGTCTGTCCCACCGCGGGCTGTCCCACCTACAGTCTGTCCCACCTGTGGGCTGTCCCACCTGTGGGCTGTCCCACCCCGGTCTGTCCCACCCCGGGCTGTCCCACCTACAGTCTGTCCCACCCCGTGCTGTCCCACCTGTGGCCTCGCTGTCGGAGAGTGACCGGGTACGGTGGCCCGCGGTCAGAGTGCCCGTCGGATCAGTGGCCGGCTCGTCCCGACCGGAGAGGCTGTGCCGCCGCCGCAGGGTCGAGTCGCCTGAGGGCATCGCCGGGTCAGGTCAGCCGAGTCCCCGCAAAGAGTCCGTGTGGAGCGTCTGCAATCAGCTAATGCAGCTAGCTGCGGGAAGTGACGCCATACGTAAGGGGTAATTATACGGACAACCGCTCAATTATAACAAATTTCACAACTGAATTATGCTTTATGATTTAAGGACGCTCGGACTTTAACCCTCGCCGGACCTATTGGTTTTCTACATACGCGCCGGCCGAGGGGGGGGGGGGGGTACGACCCCCCCCCCTCGCCGTTTCGCCCCTGGTGGAGCTAGCGCGTCGCGGAAAAACGAGCGTGTGCGCCGTTACGAGACGCAGATATTGGTACCCAATTTTAAGGTCCTAGGTCAACCGGTGACCTTCGAGGTCAGCTCAAGTGCCCCAAGGTACGGTTCAGTTTTTGGTGAATAACTTCGCAATAAACGGCCGCAGGGCCACGATTTTGGCAGCATCGTGTTCGCCTCGCTCAGGCGCGTTGAATAATATACTTTTTGTTCTGGTCAGGTCAACTTAGGGTGTTGACCTCAGGTCAAGGTCAGGTCAGCACCTCCAGGTCACGAAGATGGTCGAAAAAGGTCATGTCGCATATCATTCGATTCGGCAGGTCTTCCTGAGTCCATTGGTGGCTTTCCCGCCTCGCTAGCTCAATTTGATCAAGAGTTATTGACGAAAAACTAATATGACCTTGATGACGTCATAAATGACATCACGTAAGGTCAACATTGCAAAAGTGACGCATCTAACCTTGCAAGGAGTGCATCAAATCACGATTCTGTGTGTTTGATATAGTTAGAGATCGTTCCCGGCGCCAGAATAGCAGTTTTCATTTTTCCCCATTGACTTATAATGGTGAGGTCACGAAAATGACCTGATCTGATATGACCCTTAGGAAAAATCCGAGATATACAAGTTGTGAGACTCATAATGGATACTAGATCCTGCAAGTTTTATTTCCCTGTGACATCTCCTGTGGCAGTGAGGGCGTTGCGAAGTTGCGACATCTGAAGACCGTGCAGAGGTTCACTTATGACGTCATAGGTCAGTGACCTGACCTGACCCAAAAATGCGGTTGGTGTCAAAAGATTCGGCTTGTATCAAAGGTCAGGTATGCCAAGTTTCAGCTCTCTATCGCTAGCGTGTTCGGAGCTATCGCGAAAAAAAAAAACCCTATGGGGGGGCGGCGGCACCCGTCCCCCCCCTCGGCCGGCGAGGGTTAAAGGTCATCGACGCCCATAAAGTCGGACTGCGATCGCTAAACCACCTTTCTTTCTGAAAGTACCGGCGTTCTGCGTTGTCGGAGTTCGGATTGGTTGCAATTTTACCGAAAGAGCGTGAATAAAACATCAGCGAAAAGTTGTAACACACGTAGCAGAACACACTATCCAGCCGACTTGGCCGCACTATAGCAGCGAGGTCCGCAAGGGACCGATTACCATTTGATCAACACGTCGCTGCACTGTTGTTAACCCGCGCACCGACGGGGGTCTGCGCCAACTTCGCACCGACGGGGGGGGGGGCGGATGACCGCCCCCCCCCCTGAGATCTCAAGAACGAAGCAAGATAGCGACAAGCGGTAAACGGCATCGGATACGCACGGTCAAGATCTACAATTTTTACTAAGGTCATTTTCAGGTCAGGTCAAAGATGACGTCACAGGGGTCTAAAAAGTCAAAATGGCGGCGCTGGATATGGAGAGTTTTTCTCGAATAACTTTCGAATTAGTCAAGATAGGAACAAACTAAGGGCAGCATCGTGATCCTCTCGTCAATCCGCATCGAATGATATATATGTTGACCTCGAAAGGTCAAGGTCAAAGGTTGACCTCAGGTCACGTGACCTCGAGGTCATCATGTATATCATTCGATGCGTCTTGACGAGCTGAACACAATGAGACCATCCACGCGTCTGTATCTTGTTCCTGTACGGAGTTATTGGCCAAAAACCTTTGGTGACCTTTGATGACGTCACATGACCTCACAGCTGCCCAACAGCAAAACAGACCTCAAGGTAGTGAAGGTTGATCGTATATGAAGTCATGTATGGTATATGGGGCCATTCCGACCCGTTTTAGTGGTAAAAACAGGGAGTTGATTTTTCCCCATTGACTTATAATGGGGAGGTCGCGAAATTGACCTGACCTTAGGTCACCGATATCAAAATTCCGAGATATACAATTGTAGCTACTAATGACCTAATAACATCCTGCGACTTTCAAAGGCCTCCGACATCTACTGTAGCTCTGGCACGGTGACAAAGTTGCAAAAAAGTGACTTGAGGTTGGGTCATTCAAAGTGACCTGGTGACCTGACCTTAAAAGGTAGGAGGTTCAAACTTGCACACCATGTGTAAAATTGATGAGGGAATAGTCGTACCAAATTTCGTACAAAAAAAAACCTCGGGGGGGGGGGGCGGATATCCGCCCCCCCCCCCCCGTCGGTGCGCGGGTTAAAAGTGCATATTCATTCACCCTGTGGCTCCAAATAGCGAAATACATCTAGCAACAGACAAAACACACTTCTGACGCAAAATGAGGCGGTGTTAAAGGGGCAATAATGTAACGATCAGGCCTACGACAATGAGTGATGACGCTACCAGAACCTCCCACGTAGCAGAATACAAAATAGTGCGCGTCGAGCCGGATCCTTTTTTAGTTGGATCAATGCCTAGCTATTACCGCTACAAAGAAAGCACGAGAAACGAAATTCTTATGATACAATATTACGCAATGATTGATGTCATTTGTGCACCCACATTATTAAGCTTATGCATCAGTAGCCATACGAACATGAGCGTAGGTGGCTTTGTCCGAGGCGATTCACCATTTTCCGATTGAATGGTACACTATTAGGTAAGCTATTCACTACTATTCGGTGATACACATTTACAACCACCTGGTGCCAAAATAAATCCAATGTCCCCGATAATCCACGCCGTTCATGGACCGCAATATCTAGCGTTCCCCTTCCCCGGCCTAACGTGAGCCGCAACGGTAGCGATTTTCACATTAGACTGCCACGCAGGTTCGTATCGACAAAGCGAGGGTCACCACCCCGGGTCTGACGTGAGGGACCGTCAGCCGCGCCTGGCACAGAGTGCCACCCCGCCGACGGTCAGGGAGGGGAGGAGAGGGAGGGGAGGCGGCAGTGACTGATGACGTGATACTTGGTCGTTAGCGAACCCGTCACGGACACATATTATAGTCTTATCGTACACACATTTACACCACACTCTAGGTACACAGCGCAAAGCTCATAATCAAACATCGATCGGTACCTACTTGAGTCATGAATGGGACAAAATGTTAAACGTTTGGGTTTTAGGTAGCGAGCCAACGGTATCAATGATTGGCGTATAATACACCAATAGTAGTCGGGTGGTCTTCTACCGCTTAAAGGTAGTGTGCCAGCTTTCCTGGACCGTATGGAGTTAATGGCCCAGATAAGGAGAACCGGATTTTTAGAACTTATCCATACCTTAAAAACTCATGGAAACGTCTTAAATTCTTCAAATTTTGAGTACCCCAGTGCGAAATTCGCCCCGACGGGTTGTCGGTCGTACCCCAACCACATTTCACACCACTATTAACAATAAATGCACGCACTGAAATCGCTATTACCGATAGGCTCATGATCATCCAATCAAGTTTCGATAAAACCGTTCATCATCATCTCCTGCGGTTTCGAACACGCCTGATAGGTGGTGCGGTAGACCGCGCCCAAAGCCAGGGCCCCGGTTGTTACGTCAATAACATTGTTAACGATTGTTCTTGCCGGGTATCGTAAAAGGGACCAGTTACTTTAAATGACTGTATTCGAAATTCGTAAAACTATAAGCCAAGTGTCGATACAAATTCACCTCTTTTTCACCTCGTTTCACCTCATCCATCATTCACCCAGACTGTTCTACATTTTCATAATTTTCCATCATTGTTGGATTTCATGTGAAATCTGCACGGATCCTCCTCATAGGGATAATTAATTGACACTTTAAGAAATAACACCCTCCCCCCGCCAACGGAGCGGACCAGGCGCACACGAGCTCATGATCCGAGCGCCTCCTCCAGCAGGCAGAGCCGCCGGGCGGGGCGGTGCACTTCTCCTCCACGGACCAGTACGCGCGCCGACCGGACGCGGCCATCAGGCCCAGGAACTGTCTCGGTCACGCGTCCCAGGGGCCACTGGCCGCGCGGGCTGCCGTTCTCCACGATGAGGACGAGATCCCCCACTGCCAGGCTGCGACTTTCCGATCTCCACTTCGGTCGGCATGCCAGTCCTGGTAGATACTCTCGAAGCCATCTCCGCCAGAACTGGTCTGTTAGCGCCTGGCTCTGCCGCCAAACTCGTGTAGAGCAGCTCTCTTCGTCTCGGAACAATCCTGGAGGCAGACGCCTGACCGGACGCCCCAACAGCAGATGATTGGGCGTCAGTGCCTCCAAACTGTTCGGGTCTGTCGACACGTGCGTGAGTGGGCGGCTGTTGACGACTGCTTCCACTTCAGTCAGAACAGTGTGCAGTACTTCCTCGGAGACAAGCAGCCGCCCGAGGACAGCTCTCAGCGCGCGTTTGACAGTCCCCACCATCCGTTCCCAGGCGCCGCCCATATCACAGGCAGCCGGTGGGTTAAAATGCCACCGGATATCGCGTTGAGTGAGCTCATCGCTGATAGTCTGCTGGTTCCATTGTCGCAGCAGCTGGCGTAGCTCTTTCTCTCCAGCCCGCAGACACGATCCGTTGTCACAGAAGACGTCTGATGGCGGTCCACGTCGTGCGATATACCTGCGGAAGGCCATCAGGAAGCTGTCGGTACTCAGGGAGGATGTCAGCTCCAGATGGACCCCGCGCGTGGAGAGGCACGTGACCAGCATACACCACTTCTTCTCGATTCGTCCTCCATGCACCTTGATCTTTAGAGGACCGAAGAAGTCGAGCCCAATTGAACTGAAGGCGTACTTCGTGTCGAAACGTGCGGTCGGCAAGTCGGCCATGC